TTATTGCAAGTGTTGTAGTTTGTAGTATCTGCTCTATAAATGATGTAAAAAATGTAAAACCAAAGTGTAAAAGTGCTACTGGTCATCTCTGAATCAATTTGAAATTCTTGCTACAATGTACTTTTAAACTATCAAAGTCTGTATCACATTTTTTTATTGCTTTCTTCAATTTTTCACTTTTACTATAATAAAGTAACATTAATTACAATAGGCCATAACTTGAACTGTTACTTAAAATTTGTAACCTAAATTTATAATTTATATTTCATACATAGAATTTAAATGCTAGTATCTATCATTTTGTAACACGTAGGTCGTCGCGACAGCCTTGCAGATTTTGCAACGAAACCTTTGATCAGAATGAACTTGTAACTTATGTTCTAATAATGTGTGCAGGAAGCGTTAAAATGAACTTCAAGTTCAACTTGAAGATATGCCAAAAAGAAGGACCTGAACAACACAACGACGGACAACTATGTCATCTCTATGACTGAGATATATGTCAAGTGGATGTTTATATGATTTAATGATATCTAAGCCAGCTACCTTTAGTTGATAATATGAGTTTCATAATTCTTTTGGACGAGACCGGCGCCCAAGGCCTGTCTAGATGATCTGGGTGGGTGGGCGGAAATGCGGCACCGAAATTCCTTCCGTTTTGATCGGACGCCGCGCACTTGTAAAGACGTCCCTGCCACTTTCCAGAGAAGCTACATCGAGGTAGTATCGGAATCTGACTTACCCAGAAGTTATCCGCGAAGAAAGACATGTTTCCCCGTGTTTTCCGTCAGTAGCAAACGGACTCCAGACCGCTCCACTCGCTTCAAAATGGCGAGCGAATGTTATGGCTCGACTGCGCATGTGCCGTGACATTCCTCCCTCCAACTCTCGCAAGAAACGGCGAGACTTGAGGCCAAACTTTTTTTTTCATGGGGGGCATTTTCTGAAGTTTTCTGTCAAATTTTGATGGGTAAAATGTGATCTGAGACTTTTTATCACACCACTCTCACACAAACAGGGCCAAACCTGGGCGGGATGCCCTAGTCAGGGTTTTGCCCAGTATCAAATAGAATAGAATAGAATAGAATAGTATAGAATAGAATAGAATAGAATAGAATAGAATAGAATAGAATAGAATAGAATAGAATAGAATAGAATAGAATAGAATAGAATAGAATAGAATAGAATAGAAACCTGTGGGTCGAACTTTTCCAGATTATCTTGTGTAAGGCCACAGCAAGTACATTTTATGGATGGCATCCTCCGCAGACTACAAATCTAATGCGATAGGGTGAAAAAAAAAAAAACAAGCCGGGCCAAAAAAAATTAAAAAATAAAGATTCCTACATGCTCATATTTTGACATCATAAATCTTGTTAAACAAGAAATGATACCTGTATATTGTGCTATAAAGCTTACCCATTAAATATTACCTCATCCATTTCTCACTGAAACAACTTTGAAACGAGGACTTTTCAATCATTGTATTCAGTGGAAACATTACATTATTCAATGTTTAACACTCCCCGAGAGAAAATCAAATGGTTCGTCCCTGGTGTTGGATTATTAATCTGAAGTCATTAAACGTCATCAACCAGTCAACAAGAAGGTATTAAACAATCTGCTGCTGAATACGTGAAGCTGGAGATATATTTTCTCCCCGCTCGTTCCCTTTTTGTGTAGCAGAATCTGACTCTGAGAAGGAGACATCCGGAGAGAAATCGCTAATCTCCAAGCAGATCCCTTTTGGTGGCAAAAAGACAGTATCAAATTGGCCAGGCAGTATCCATTAGCCAGAGAAGGTCGCCAGCTACCGGTAGCGACAAAAAAAACGGCCATATATAAAAAGGTAACGATCATTCCCCCACAACCTCTGCTTGGAGAGTAAAATCGCACCACGAGTAAGTGTCTTGTTTGATTTTTACTTCATAAATTGTAGTTTCTCATATCTTTCTAAGATTGGCACCATTTCTTGAAACTGTATGTCTGTACATGTAGCTATAGATTCGCCTCCAGACTAATCAATTTATGCTCCATGTTAAATTTATTTTGCTTCTCGGGGATTTGACAACATTGGGCCAATGTTTGTTTGCTTTTTCTTAGAATTTTTCTTGGGCATTCGAGTGATCTTTTTTTTTTCAAACCTAATTTTAAGTCAGTTTAAAGGAAAAGCTAGATTGAAGTTTGCAAATATTGCAATGAGCTATGAGTCTCTAATATTTCCATTTGTAAACAAGTAAAATCTTAGATTTTATACCTCCGGGCTTTTTATTGTATATTTACCTCCATGAAATGTGTCATGGAGGTTATATTTTCAGTTGCGTTTATCTGTCCGTCCGTCTGTCTGTTGGTCAACAAGATAACTCAAGAACGCCTGGATGGATTGGTTTCATACTTGGTGTGTTGGTAGGGTGTGACGAAAACTGGAAATGATGAGATTTTTGTCCCCCTAGTGGCTTCTCTTGGTACTGCAGCGCAACTTCCGGTTTTGATATCTCGCGATCTGGACATGCTAGGGTCATGAAATTTTGATGGAAGGTAGCTCTCGTACTTGGGAAGAAGTCATACGAGTTTGGGCCCCCTAGCGGCTTGTTCTGGAACTGCAGGGCACTTTCTGGCGAAATGTTTAAAAGCCAATAAGTCCAGACAGGAACAACATATTTTCATTATTTTTGGTGTGCAGGTAGCTGAGAGAGAGATGTACATAATTAAATGCAACTTATGCAAATGAGGACTTTATTTGCATAATTAATGAGGAAATTCTATAATTACAGTGTTTTACATTATACTATGTAACCTATGGCAGGCGGAACTTCAACAGATGCTAATTATGCAAATGATGACCTAATTTGCATAATTAATGTGAAAATTCTATGATTTCGTAATGGTGAATGATGAGAATGTCATACTTGGGACATCTGTAAGTTAATCAAAAGTTAACATACATCACGATGCATATATCATGTTAATGCAGAGGTCATTTGAACAATTAAAGAAGAAATTTACATTTACATATCAAGATCATATTTCATGGAGGTATGAGGTCTCGGAATTCTAGTTTTATATGTAATTTGTTATGTATAGTTGATGGTGTTGAATTTTATGTGTTAGAGAAGATGCATGTGCACAACAACAATAGTTGCGTGCCGCAGGACTAGGGGTTTAAACAAAGAATTTATCGAGACCGGACACCCCTCTTTGAGAAAGATATACGTGGACCAGACCGAGAATATCTTAAACACGCCAAAGGTCAACGGTCGTGACCATTTTCACGCTCAAAGGGGTGTTCTGGGGCCACCAAAAGGCACCATTTTCACGCCCGAAAACACATATACAATAAAAACAAAAGAACATGCATCATCCGCAGCCCAATAGCAAAACATACACCAAGTCCCAAAAAAATCCGTCCACCCAAACGCGAGAAACAGCTGCGAACATGAAAATCTAAATCTCTCACAAAACCCTTCCGCGGAAGGATGTCTCCTCTCTCGGAGGTAACTATTCGTTCCATTTTAAAAGCAGCATTCCTAATGAAACAAAAGGTAACTTGTGCTTTACACAATGCCACAAATACGTGTTGTCTTTAATTTCCTCATTGGACAGAAATGCATTTATCTTTCTTGAAATATGTGGCAATTGATAGCAACGTTAACCAATCAAAATAGGCGAAACAATCCGTTCTCAATTCAATGGCCATTGATATAGGATATCATACACACGAATATACGGCTGGCTAAAAACCACTGACAACACAAAAATGACTCTCTTGTGATATGACATGGCGCATGTATATATTTTTTATTCACATGGATTTTGTAGGAATTGTAGAATTTAGGGATCGGTGTAGAGTTTCGGGTCTTGGGCTAACTTTACTCACGCCAAGTTACGCGTCTATATGATCTGCTAGTTAACCAAGTAAAACACACGGAGACGGGTCGATTCAGATTGGCATACTCTTTTCGGCTTTCTTTCGGCACTATTATCTGGATGAGTAGGGTTGGGTAGCCGGCTCTCGACATTTTTTGGTACTCTTGTTGGGTCAAGCTAAGACACTTGATGTATAGTATGGACATGTCAAACTCTGTATTTTTTTTTACTTTTTTTCCCCTTCTTTTTTCATGTTCTGATTGTAGGGTGATTTTAGTTAACATACTCTCCTGGTTATTATAGTTAGGTAGCGTACGAGGACGCACACTGATTAGAGGAGAGGGGATAGTGTAACAGCCCTGATCAGTCAGCTAGTGATTTATGGTTCCCGTGACGTAGTGACTTATGACGTAGTGCTCAGTATCCATATTTAGATCCTCAGCTTCTTAGATTAGCCAATGACTGGTGAGAGTAGTCAGCGTCAGGATTAGAGAGCGCCAAATCCTAACCACTAGACCATATGGGAGCGGGCTAGCTAATATCTAATCCTGACGCTGACTGCTCTCACCAGTCATTGGCTAATCTAATGAGTATGTAAATGAACTAAGAAGCTGAGGATCTAAATATGGATACTGAGCACTACGTCATAAGTCACTACGTTTTGATTAGTATATTTCTTATTCATAAAGGCTAACATCATTTGGCGAAGGTATGAGATCGTGGAACTCTAGTGTGATTTTAAGTTAAGTGTAAATTTTTGTTTATTCATTTCATAAATCACGATATTTAATTGGTCTCCGTTATAGCCGACCTTCATATAAGCCACGCGCGCGAAAATCTCTACAAGCAGACTAGTTTCTTTGTATGTATTTATGCAATATAATGTTTATGCTATATAACGTTATAGGTACTTGCCGCAGATGTTGCTATTGTTGGGGGTTGACAGTTTTCCTACCCCCAGTGTTGCAGTTGAATCACGTCTGTGCCAACGTGGATAGCTTCAGATTGACATTTTCATTTGGGATAAGCCGTTAAAAAATATAATGTGCTGTATACTTTTGGTATGGAGAAACATTAAGGGAAGATTAACATATAATACAGTAATTATGCGCGAATCAGGTTCGAACTTGCATAATTGATGAGGAAATTTTATAAATCTACAGCGTGCCGCGTTCCATGATACCACCCAAGTTACACACATTTACATAATGTAACTCACTCGGGCGAAAGGAACATCAAAAGAACATCATTATATAACCGAGATAATTATAGGCCCGATTTACACGTGCGTCGTTTATATGTGTTGGGCGTAAAACGACGCGAGCGTGCGCGCGGCGCCGCACTGCGCGTTTTGTGCGACAGATTTTTTGATCGTGTAAACAACCTCCGCCACAGACGCGCGGCGGTTTTGTTGTGGCACTTCCTGGACGTGCCACAGAAAAATGACGCGCGACGCCGCGCGTCTGTTGCGGAGGTTGTTTTACACGATAAAAAAT